CACATTCCTGTATATATGAATAGACCTACACGTACACACCACATACACCTACATACACAAGATTACACAATAATTGTTTGAAATACAATCAGATGTCTTAGGTCAGACTGGGATAGGTTTTCATGGGGCTGAGAGCCACAGACAGAAAAGGAAGTCAGAAGTATTGAGAGATGAACTAAGCAATTATTCGGCTTTGCCGTTTTCATGGGCTTAATTGGAAATACGAGCATTTTCAGTATAACAACCTGTGGCATACTGTTCTCTCCAGTTACAAATGACCCAACCTGACTGACTGAACATGCATTTTTATTGCTGAGTTGAATATTCTGAATAATGTTTGTTTGTGTGTCTTGATTGTGGCAAAAGTCACATTGAGGTCACGTCAGTGTCCTCTGCAGAGACGAGCCCCCACGACAGCCAAGAGGTTCTCGTCTCACGCAGCAAAGAGCACCATCGTGGACACTGTGGCCTATTTGTATTGTCGTTGATTCCCCTCTAGGGGGTATAGTTATATAGTTTTTTGGGGGAGTTTTAGGGTGTTTTCACACCTCACTTGTTTGGTTTGGTTAAAACGATCCCTGGTGCATTTGGTCGGACTGGGCTAATGTGAAAGCTGTCAGTTGAATTCTGGTGAGATCAAAAACACGTAAGTTAGCTTATTATTTCTGTTTTTTTTATCTGCTAATTTTGAAATCTGTTCAGGAAGCAATCTTATATTTGATATGTATAAGCCATGTATATATTTATGCAAAGCATTTGGTAACCTCCTGTGCAGATCACCGCAGGTATTTTCCCTGATTAACAGGTCAAAAGCTGTTAAAGATCTTGTACTTTGCCAGATCAAGTCTATTTGTATTGTCCAATCAACGAGTTACCGGTCAGTCTATATAACTTCATCCTTACTACGCTTTGTTCGTTTGTAAAAACCAAAACTAAAATGCAACAATGTATAATTTATTTCCCTTTCGTCCAGACCAAATGAACAGAACGACAGGTGTTAAAGTTCCCTTAAAAGCTTGCAGCCTGTGCCATGTATTTCTGTTTCCCTCGCTGTTAAGTGCCCACTGTATAAGGACCCACTAGAGGTCCTTGCTCCCTCTGCAGTGAGCCATCAACTCCGCCCCTGACGACGACTATTATCTTTTAAATCTAAATTTCCTCCTGGGAACAGGTTGCGAACAACGGGGGGAGCCTATGTTTCTCTATCATCATGGATCCATGCGTAAAATCAGGAGCGTCAGACTTCTTCCCCCACCCCCAAAAGCTAGGGTATCTGTGGTGTGTGTGTGTGTGTGCGTGTGTGTGCGTGTGTGTGTGTTGTGTGTTGGAGACACATTTTCACACATAGCTCATTCAGAATCCAGCACATATTCACAGTACAGACATACAAGTCAGCTGAGACTGGAGGTGTGTTTCTGCTGTCCCATTATGCACCTGGCTGCCAGTAATGTTTGCATTGTGACTGGGAATGAAAGCTAACTGAAAGAAGTGATGTAGGAAAAGTTGATTTGAGAAGGACATGGAAAATGTTGTGTTGTGTCTAAGATTTCTTGTTGCATTTGCTCCATTGTATTTTGCTTAATGCATTTGGTAGTTAACTGGTAAACTTTCCCAACCCACAGCAGAGTATGTGTGAAATCAACAAGCTCTGTTTAGATGCCTGCCAAGAGATACTGATGTTTTAGGGCCAATAAACACTTTAAAAACTAAGTAGAAATGTCCAGTCCTCATTCACTACATAGACCAAATCTTATTTATTTCATGTAAAATAAGAAGCAATTAACTCAATACAGACAATATAATATGATGACGATATCAGTCAGGTACACACATTTGTCTACTTGAAGAGATTTTGCAATGCTGTTTATACTACAGTCACTATAACTTTAGGTGTATTAGGACATTGTGGCCAATGTTGGAACGAAATGATCTGGACTGCGTGATGGCAAATTTTGCATTCATGTGATGAACTATTTTGATCTGTTTGATATTTGCTCTGCTGAATTACCCCCAAAACACACTATGCCAAACTGTACTGTATCGTAATTTAAATCAGTAATATAACATTGCATATTATGTGATGAATTCATATTGCCTACTTGTAAGCTTATCTGGTTCGATAGTGTATTGGTGCCTGGAAAATAACTTGCGATTCAAACACCAGGGGACATCCCTGGATTCAAACCCAGGTCTACAGGGTACCAAACATGCAACCTTGACCGCAACGCCAATGCCAGTCCAAGCGCATTCAACTGTAGTGATGGTACAGTTCTCCCATCCCAGGGTGCCCCACCCTGGAGGCACCTCATCCGGTCACACACACTGGGCACGCCTCTGATGACCTCACGGCAAGCCATCCCACTTCTGACACCATTTGTAGTGAAGGGCGAGAGCAGTCATCCTACCCGGATTCAAACCCGGGTCTACAGGGTACCAAACATGCAACATTGACCACAACGCCAGGCTCGTTGGTATGGCAGTCAAAGCACATTCTCAACCGTAGTGAAAGTACACCGTCACACAGTAGATGAGGCCACAGATGTCTGACCGTTAAGGTCATGGTCTAAGAGTTGAGTTTAGACAACCAGCGCTCTTGGAAGTTCTAGAAAACGTGCAATTAGTTTGCTTTAAATAGAGACACATTGCAGAGCAGCATCTTGTTAGCAGGATGACCAGGTAATAGGATTGTCTGGCTTTAGCTCTGGTCACAATGAAATAACAAGGACACATGTCGTGACTTCCGACGCCAGATTTCAACCAATCAGAACCAGCCAACACTGAATACTATAGAACATGATGGTGATGTTAAAAGTTGTTTAGTTGTTCAGTTTAATGATTATATATATATATAACAACACTAAAGTCATGAAATTTACCCACATTTTATTTCACTTTTTTTGTGAACAATTGAAAATCTAGTTTGAAAACTTAACATTGCCTTTGTACAGTTATCAATGTGGACATTTCTGGGCAACATGAAACTGACAGCAGATTAGAGAGCTGAAACCATCAGTAGATTAAGTGATTAGTTTAGTCTTTTTCAAACGTAGGGGCATGACCCAAGATGGGTCACGGACCCATTTGTGGGCTTGAAATGCATAATAGTGCTATGCAGTGCTTACTTTGGTACCTTGAGCACATTGGACAACGCCTGGTGCTAGCTGTCACAAACAAAGCGTTATTTATTTACATTTAGTAGAGATAGATTATATTATCAGAGCATTCACAATAAAAATCACTTGAAATCAGCAGGTGGAAGACCGAGGAACAGCTGTTTATGGTTCTCTATCCCTCTCTTCCTTCACTTCCCTGTTGCGTCTCTTCTCCCACGGATCGCTGCTACAATGAGGAGGGAAGGAGTTAGTGCAAAAAAGTTTACAACCACGAAAAGCAAACAGGGCGATCAGACAGAGTGCAGTTAATTTACAAATCCAATTGAACAATGGCGTCAGACGCTTTCCTGCTGAGTTGAAGTTTTTTCAACTCGAGGCACGTGGACAGCGCTGCAACTACACACGCCACCCCCTAATTTAGCCAGAGACATTTCACATTTTCATAGCACAAACGCCCCGTTTTTTCAGCTGTTGGGCTTACAGTAATCACATTCTAAAATATTTAGACACCAAAAAGCATTAAAACACTTGCCAGCATACAGCGATATATGTGGGCCTTGCAGATTTTGATCAGAATAAGAATCAGAAACAGAATCAGCTTTATTTGCCAGGTACGTGTACACATACGAGGAATTTGACTCAGGATTGTATATTGCTCACAATGTGCTTACTTACAATACAATAATAATACAATAATAAATCACACACAGGCTACAGTATAGAGAACACATACTGTATATACACACTATAAACAAAAACAGTGTGGACAGATTGCCACAATAGTGCAAGGAGTAGAGTGCAAAGGATGCCGGAATAAATAAGTATTATGTGCAGGTGTTATATACTTGAGGTAGGTGGATTTGGCATACAGTATATACAATATACAAAATGACAATATAACAGCATGAACAGCTCTGAAATAGAGAATGATGAATAAATAATAAGTGGTAACCAGTAAACAGGTGGCTGATTGGAGACAGAGTTACTGGGTTATTGCACAGAAGTTGTTCCTGACACTGTGAGGCAGAAATCAGCTGTTCATCAGAGTGATGGCTTGTGGGAAGTTTTGGCGTACAGTGCTCTGTAGCGCCTCCCAGAGGGGAGAAGTTGGATCTGCAGTGATGCTTTCTGCCCGTTTCCTGACTCTGGAAATGTATCAGTCCTGAATGGAGGGCAGCTTGGCACTGATGAGTTTTTCTGCAGTCTGACTGTCCGTTTGTAGTCTGTTCCTGTCCTTTTTGGTGGCAGATCCAAACTAGACAGTGACGGACGTGCAGAGGACAGACTGAATGATGGCTGTGTAAAAGTGGACCAGCAGCTCCTTAGGCAGGCAGATAGTGACAAAGGAGGTGCCAGATCCAATCTGGGAGATCCTATTCTGGCAGGATCACATTACACTCAACAAATTTGATTATTGCTGTGATATATTTGACCCCACTCCCCACTCCAGCTTACAGATCTTAAATTCATGGTTTGTTGTGTTCTTTATCAGTAGTTTGGGTCCCGCTGAGACAACAAATTTCTCTTTAGGTCTTGAGCTGAAAAAGTTTGGGAACCCCTGGATTAGTTAATTGACAGAAAAGAATGTTGATTAAACAAACTCTTTAAATGTTTTTAATAAAAAAATGGGAAATATTCTCTGGTTTTATTCTCTCAAATGTGAAGATCTGCTGCCTTTCTGTGTTTTATAATATTTTTATTAAAACATTTTGACATTTTATAGACTAAATAATTAACCAAAAATAACTGTTCTTCAGCAGATCACGTCCCCCTTTGCTCCTGTGTTGACATGAATGCAGTGAAATATTGTTGGGATGTCTTATTAAGGTTATATCTTGTGTGCCAAAGAAATGGCCGGGTTGAAAACAGCAGGCTACTCAGGTGCCATTCTCTGTGTTCTCTAATGATTTTCTCCCTGCAGGGGAGGAAGGCTCCCGGGCGCTCAGGGAGTCGATCTAGCAACATCTCCAAGGTAACCGCTGAATATTAGCGAGTGTAAAGGGCCAAAATCAAGGTCACAGTTCAGAGTGTATGTTAGCATCATTTATCCAAGCAGAATCTGATGTGCAAGAATGTGTTTTACTAACCAATCAATATATAGTTGCTCTAAGTACACACTGTTGTATGTCTCATGAGACACAGAATTATGCCTTAAGCTCCTCTTATGTATGATATGGAAGGGTTGTACTAATAAACCTTTACAATATTTGTAAAGGTCACCTATTAGCATCTTTTTCCAAATTGACTGTATATGTCTAAAGATAAATCAGGACAAAGTTAACAACTAGCTAATGTCAAAAACCTAATGTCTAACAGCTCAAGGCTCAGATACATTTCTCAGGAGTTGGTGGAGGCCAAAGCAGAGCTAAAAAGAGAGTGAATACTGGGCTTCAATTTGTCAGGTGGCTAGAAATAAAGAAATGCTCAGAATGAATGGCAGTGTTTCTCTATGGATGCTGGATGTGTATGTGGGCAATTGCATGCTAACATGTTAGCAATAACAACATTAAAAGGCCAAAAAAGGTCAGGATTTGTCAGCTTATTTTGGGTTCTTTTCCCCAAAAATCAACTAATGCAGCTTTAAGATAATTCATGTTTATGCTTTATCATTAAATACAATCTTTATTTTGATTATGAAATCATTAGTTAGTGTGTAAAGATGTTGTGATATTTAGAAAAACTAGTGATAGTTGATGACCAGTGACAGATTTTTGTACTTGCATAGAAGCGTGGACGCTAATTTGAGTCCGTTTGTTGTTTCAGGCCAGCAATTCTACAACAGGACTCACCACAGCTTCAAGAACATCAATCACCCCGTCTGCTCAGGACATATGCAGGTAAGACAGCTGTCTCTTTAAGATTTACCCAGAAATACAGTCAGTTGGGCAGAAAGTGCAAAGAAATGGCACCAGAGCAGCCACAGCTCTCTGTGATGTTAACATGTACAGTTTAAAGCTGCTTCTCTGGGAGACTCAATTAGTATGGTCTGCCCCACCCCGAGGGCATTAACTAAATTGCTGAAATCCAATAGTGGAGAAAGATGGCTGATTGCAGAGCCTTTAGTTTTTTATATCAATTGGTGGTGTGGTCGTCACGGCGACAGGCTTAGTCCTGAAAGGACGCTGTGTTTGTTTTCAGTTTGGACTCGATGCCTGGATGCTTGGACCTCCATTTGTCACATATCATGATCAAATCATTCTACATTTGCCATTTACTATTCTGATTACCCAGCCTGATAATCAGGGCTAAATAGCCATTTTCTTTCATTATTCAGTCACACATCATGTCCCATTACGTTGTTCAGTTATTTTGTCCTAACCACACAAAGTGAAAGCCATATCCGTCCGTATTTTCACAGAAAATATGCTTCTGTAAGTTGCAACCTGTAGACCTGCATCTCATACGTTGGATATTTTGCTCTTGCTCATAGGAATGACATTGCCATCCTTACCTACAAAGCTCTGATTAGCTCTACCAGTCATTATTTAAACATGAAACAGCCGTCATACAGACCTAAATGAATCACTGAAAAAATCGGAGATGTGATCCAGAAATATGGAAGCAGGCTGGATGTTATCCTAATCCTAATATCTCTGAAGGATGCTGCCCAGTGACAGTTGAAATTCACTAGAATTACATATATACATATTTATGTATATATAAAAAATAAAATCCCCCTCTCACCCCTTGCGGGGTGGTATGTGCAGCCTCAAGCTCGGGACCCGGGTTTGGGTTTTTGCACAGTAGTTTGAGGGTTCTGCGCAGTATCTTAGCTGTTCCTAGGACTGCACTCTTCTGTACAGAGACCTCTCAGATTTTACCTGGAATCTGCTGTAGCCAATCTCCCAGTGCTCCGATTACCACTGGCACCACTGTTGCTCTTACTTTCCACATGTTTTCTAGCTCCTCTTTCAGCCCTTGGTATTTCTCAAGCTTCTCGTGTTCCTTCTTCTTGATGTTGCTGTCGCTTGGGATTGCCACATGTATCACTGCTGCCTTCTTCTGCTATTTGTCGATCAACACGATGTCTGGTTGGTTAGCCATCACCAGTTTGTCAATCTGGATCTTGAAATCCCACAGGAGCTTAGCTTAGCTCATTCATTCTCAACTACCTTAGGAGGTGTCTTCCATTTTGACCTTGGGACTTCCAGCTCAAACTCATGGCATACTCATTACCCGGCCTCTCTCACCGGGATTGCTTGTTCCAGTAGCTGACGCAGACCTTGTTGACCCGGGCGAGGTCCGAGCCGGTATGGCTCTTGTATTTGCGGTTTCACTCATGCCCGAGGTAGGCTGGTAGCATTAAGGACCTTGCCTAAGGGTCCACCTGGATACCCCCGACCTGACCGGGAATCGATCGACCCACAATCACCTGTACCAAAGTCAGTGGCATTAACCACTGAGCAATCCAGGAGCTATATATATATATATATTAGGGCTATCCCCGACTAAGGATTTACATAGTCGAATCAGAATCGTCAAGTCCTGCCTATAGTCGACTGATAGTCGAATCATGTCATGTGTGTTTTTGTGCGCGCCGATTGCGAGCCGAAGCTAAACTGAAGCTTATTGTTGACCATTTTCTCTCTCTCTCCCTCTCTCTCTCTCTCTCTCTCGCCTCGAATTTTCGACTATTGGGGGTCAGCCCTAATATATATATATGTATTATTTCAGTCTTTCAGCAAGACTGACATATTTCTAGAAATGTTACTGATAAATAGGAGATCTCATAGTGAACTACTTTTTGATAAGGATAAGGAAATAGTCCCTGTGAAAAGTGGATATGGGTTTTCCAGAGTAATGGGGACATAGATTCTTAATAGTTTTTAATGAAATTTTTACAAATACTACCACAGATGAAATCCAAATCAGAATCTGTACATGTAAAGACAAATCATTCTGTCGGCTTACAATCAGGTTTCAGACCATTTTTAGTTTATGTCATCACATTCATGTCTTATCCATCTCATTTCACTTTTATTGTTTTTTACACATCTCCATCTGTGTGTGTGTGTGTGTGTGTGTGTGTGTGTGTGTGTGTGTGTGTGTGTGTGTTCAGCCCTGGCCAGCTGACCCGCTTAGAGGAGGATACTTCTGAATCCCACAAACACAGCAAGCACACACACGTTGCTGTGATGACCGTCAACAGCACAACTCTGGGCTCGTCAGCTCAGGCCCAGAAGAAGCAGGTGAAGCGTCGTCACCGCCGCAAGAGGAACAGCTGCGCCACCCTCGACTGCGTGGAAACCAACAGCAAACAGGAGCAGACTGACCGCAGCCTCAGCTCTGACCGCAGTGAGAAGGGGGAGAAGAGGGAGCGGCCTTCCAAGAACCGGAGAGAGCTTCCCCCTCGCCTCCGCTGCTCAGGGGCCATCGAGTCAGACTCCACCTCAGACGATGAGGCGTGGCGCGAAGCCCGCAGCTGGAGCAAAGAGAAAGCTCGAAGAGTGCGGCGCCGCAGTGGAAGCAGCCGAGAGAGGGATGGAGCGAACAAAGCAGAGGTCATGGAGCTGCAGTCGGTGGGCTCAAATGAAGGGAAGGAGAACCAGGCTCTGGTGGAGGACAGCGGAGGCCTTAAAAAGCGGCACAGCAGCAGGTCCTCGATGAAGAGAGACGGCCACATTTCACAAAGGGAAGGCTCACATGGCAGAGATAAGAAATGCAAGTCACGCAACGCAGGAGATAGCTCCTCATTGGCAGAGGACGGCGAGGAGCTCATCACCAAGAGATACCAGGAAAAGGGGTCAGGGGGTGGGGACATGTCAGTGCCAACACCACAAAAACACTGCCGTGTGAATGGAGGCACAGCGCAGCCCTGCTCTGATGACTCTGAGCTGGAGGTCTGCAGGTTAGTGCATATGTTTGTGAGCCTATATGAGTGTGGGTGTGTGCACTAATCATCTGTCAATATCAGGTTCAAGTTCAACTTAGACAAAGTAGTGCAGAGGTTGAATTTCATTGCCTGTTCTGATCTGTTTGTGTGTGTGTGTGTGTGTGTGTGTGTGTGTGTGTGTCTGCTATGTGTTTTATTTTCTGTGTTTGTGTGTGTGTGTGTGTGTGTGTGTAGGATCTGCCACTGTGAGGGGGATGACGAGTGCCCGTTGATAATGCCTTGTCGCTGCACGGGGAGCCTGAGTTTCGTCCACCAGGCATGTCTCAACCAGTGGATCAAATCCTCAGACACTCGCTGCTGTGAACTCTGCAAGTTTGACTTCATCATGGAGACGACACTCAAACCTTTACGCAAGGTAAAGCTCATAAACCTCATTCACAACTATGAACTGGGATCTGCTCTACCAGTCAAAAGTATCAGGCTGTAATAATGTAACAACACCATCTCTCTCTCTCTCTCTCTCACTCTCTCCCTCCGCCTTCAACCAATGTTGCCTCTCATCCCCTCTCCATCTCCATCCCTCTGTCTTCCAGTGGGAGAAGCTACACATGTCCAAGAGTGAGAGGAGGAAGATTTCCTGTTCAGTGTTGTTTCATCTGATAGCAATAGTTTGTATGTTGTGGTCAGTCTACGTTCTGGTGAAAAGAACCGCGGAAGAGATCAGACTTGGGAAGAACGGTCAGTACTTTCGCCCGACTCCCTCTTTCACATACCGGAGACACGCAGGGTAAAATTTGTTGATGTTTGGCTTCAATGAAACAGTATTATGATCCAAATCCAAAGGTACCATGGGGAGTTTTAATTGTTAAACAGTTTTATTCACATTCACTATTACTCACATAAAGGTGTTGTGTGTATAAAAACAATAAACATGTTAATTCATTTCCTGCCTCAGTCAACATTTGCAAACCATACATTTTTTGAAACTGCATTGTTTACATATGCTTGCAGTGAAATGCAGGTTTCCAGTTAGCTAAAAAAACGTTGGAAAAAGACACCTAATAAAAACAACATCAGATCATTAAAACATTGCAGCACCTATTGGTCAAAAACTCCACATTGTACCGTCAACTTTTTCACCTGCTGATCTTTACAGCTGTTTGACTCTGGTGATGCCATTTCGATAGGCTTCCTGTGTGGTCACGTGTTGTATTCATGTTTTCTCTAAATTTAGTGAAACTAGTGAAAAAATTTTGTGTGTGTGTTGTAAAGCATAAATCTCCCAGCCTATACACTTGCTGCGATGGTCATCCATAAGTGTCCCTCTGCACATTAGGGATCTAGCTCCATAGTGAAGACTTGAACAATTGCACATATGTCCGCGTCATGTGCAGTTTTACCTAGTTTCACATATTGATGCATACAAAGCCTTAAATTAAACCATGTTATCTCAAAATTACAACAAGCTCATGTTACAAGGTAGGTTTATTTGTCACATTACAACAGGTTGTAAAGTTGTAAAATCAATCATAAAAATAGTGGACAGAAATAAACTACAATTAATCAAGTGCAGTGCTGAGGATGAATTTTAGTATAAACGTCTGAGAGCTTGGGGCTCTGTAGGCATCTCAACTCACAGATATAACTGATGCTCAGGAGATTGGTACCAGTGATCTTCTGAGAAGTTTTAATCACCCGCTTCAGAGCCCTCCGCTCCTGGGCCGTGCACATCCCATGCCAGTTTGTGATGTTTCCAGTGAAAATTGAAAATGCAGTTAAAATGAAGCAACAATGACTTTAAATAGACACATTCACTAGATTTGTATATATATTGTTTATGTCTCTTTAACTGTTTATTGCATAAACATTTTCTGATAGAATTCCTGTTTTTCACATAGTTAATGGTTGGAAAATATACTTGCTTTCAAGACTTTTTGTTTTTGTATCACATAGATGATCCATCAAAGTGAACACTTACCCATGTTTTTATGTTAACGTATAATCATACATTAGAGTGAGATATATTATGATCAGATAGCAATGAGAAAAAAGCATTTCCTTCAACACCAAGAGAAAATGAAACCCAGAAAACAAACGAGTTTCAGATGGAGTTCACCACAAGGACAAGAATCTACCAGCAAGGTTTCATTCGGTCTCTGCTCATAATCTCATTACATTTGAGAAAAAACAGAGCCAGCTGAAGGTTCACTGTGATTACACAAATCTCTATTCTAAAATACTTAATTAATCTCACAAAGGGAAATTCAATGTTTTCACTCTATTGCTAGTATTTACACACAGGTCTAGTCTTAAGGGTTCTTGGAGGTGAACTCCAGCTACTAGTCCACACTCCACAACTCTGGTCCAAGCTGGATTCAAACCGGCAACCCTCCAGTTTCCAGCCTCATCCTAACAGACTGAGCTACTGCCGCACCCATGTGACATAAACTAAACATGCAAAACCACCAGTCTTTCGTTGACTGACACTTTGGCAGGTCACTTGATGGTCGCACACATCTGCTTCTCCTTTATGAGTTTGTCACGATTTACATCTGTGCTTTTGTAAGTTCATTGTTGTTTTGTTGATGGTGTGATGTGTCGTGCTGTGATCATAGTGTATCTGTATTATGATTCTCATATTGTAGGACCTAAGGCTAAAGGTAGCAAACACAGATATATATTAATTAACACTAATATATATTCCGTGTATATCATAAATAGCATACATGTTTATTCAGAGATCATAGAAATAAGGAGAAATTACACTCACTCTTGATTGCAGAGGAATTATGGAGAGTTTCTCTTCTGAAGTACTATTCGCAAGACGGTAAGCACAGCTCTGCACACACCTCTGATCATGAACCATCACACATCCTGCAGGTCGATTTTCAGCCGCAATGTGTTTGTGTGTGTGCATCCTCAGAAGTGCTGGAGTGGCCCTTCTGGACCAAGCTGATTGTGGTGGCCATAGGCTTCATAGGTGGTCTCATCTTCATGTACATCCAGTGTAAAGTGTACCTGCAGCTGTGGCGCCGCCTCAAGGCCTTCAACCGCATCATCACTGTGCAGAACTGCCCAGAGAAAGGCGTGCACAACTCTCAGTCCTGGCCCAGCGCCCTGACCAACGGCAGGCAAGAAACAGTGGAGGTCCCAGTCAGCCCGGCCCCCGTCCCGGCTCCAGGGGCACAGATGGATTCAGACGTGTCAGTCGAGGCTGCGGTGGCCCCGGCACAAAACCCCAACTGAAAAATTCTTCTCCTGCTCAGAAAGAGTCCTGAATCACACCCTGCTCATCAATCGCCACAAGCTGGTGTAGCATGGTGGGATCTAGACTCGTACAGTGTTTTAGTGTTGTTCATCTCAGCTCCTGTGATTACTAATCTTGAGTCATAATGGACAGACTTAAAGTCCTTCAGTGATCAACGACAAATGAACTGCAATGATGCAAATGTGCAAAGTAAAGACTAATGTGGCAAGTCAGAAATAGAGAAGAGGAGGTGAGGTGAAGTAAAGGAAAACAAAGCCATCGGGAGCAGAAGTTTGTAAAGACTGCAGTTGTGTTGTAAATTGACAGTTTTATTCCTGTATGCACTTTCTCAAACTGCACTGACACGAGTTAAGGGTGTGAACACCCCGTGGATGCTATTAAAGTTCTCAGTATGCTTCAAACAAACCTCGGACAACACGTCTTACAACCATGTCTGAAGGCTAAACAAACTGTAGTTTGTACGACACGTCGTCTGACCATGTCTAAAGATAGAAGTGTTTGTTTTCCCAAATTGCAACATTCACCTTAAACATGGTGTCAGAGATGTGGGAGTCACTGAAAAAATGGTGCACACTTTGGGACAGTTTAGAGCATTTATGTTGTTGCATTCGGTTGTACACACCAGACGTGAGGGAGGGTGTAGTATGAAGAATGTACAGGAGAGCTTGAGGAAAGAAGTTGCATACCCTACCCATTTCCACACCACCTCACATCTGGCCAACCATTACCCGAAGCGGGAACCGGCGTACATGAAAGCGGGTATCAGATGCTGTTATGGTGCTTTCAGACCAAAAGCGAAGCGAGCGTTTGGGGCGGTAAGTTTACATACAAAGTCAATGCAAAGACGTGTAGAGCTGCGATTTCCTGTCGGGCAGCGCGAAGCGATGCGAAGGCAACGTGAAGGAATTCGCGTGAGTTGAATATTTTCAACTCAAGCGAAGAAGTCGCATGACACTGAGTCACGATAGTTTATCAGTGTTGTCCGTACATCACCGAGGATCAAGAGCGTTGTGTGGAGAGGGCCAGGCAGAGCGGGGGACTGAAAATCTGCTGGCCGGCTGAGAGCTGCTACTTGGGGGAGAGGAGCAGCGCTGCAACCATTGGACAAATAAACACCCGTAGTCGGTCAGATTCTGAAGCTCGGAGTTAACTGCTTTTATTAAATTAGCTTTTTACTTTAGTTTTTTGGATTTCAACGTAGATTCATCTTCACTGGAGCTTCTCAGCAGCTAGCTTCTGTGCACATCCGGTTCCAGTGTTGTTGTTAGCGTCGTTAGCTCTGTTGGACTACGACTTCATATTTAATATTATTTAAATATTAATCATATTTAATTCAGTATCTCCGAAAATTAGAATATTACTTAAGACCAATACAAAAAAAGGATTTTTAGAAATGTTGGCCAACTGAGAAGTATGAACATGAAAAGTATGAGCATGTACAGCACTCAATACTTAATTGGAGCTCCTTTTGCCTGAATTACTGCAGCAATGTGGCGTGGCATGGAGTCGATCAGTCTGTGGCACTGCTCAGGTGTTATGAGAGCCCAGGTTGCTCTGATAGTGGCCTTGAGCTCTTCTGTATTGTTGGGTCTGGCGTATCGCGTCTTCCTCTTCACAATACCCCATAGATTTTCTATAGGGTTAAGGTCAGGCGAGTTTGCTGGCCAATTAAGAACAGGGATACCATGGTCCTTAAACCAGGTACTGGTAGCTTTGGCACTGTGTGCAGGTGCCAAGTCCTGTTGGAAAATGAAATCTGCATCTCCATAAAGTTGGTCAGCAGCAGGAAGCATGAAGTGCTCTAAAACTTCCTGGTAGACGGCTGCGTTGACCTTGGATCTCAGAAAACACAGTGGACCAACACCAGCAGATGACATGGCACCCCAAACCATCACTGACTGCGGAAACTTTACACTGGACTGCAAGCAACGTGGATTCTGTGCCTCTCCTCTCTTCCTCCAGACTCTAGGACCTTGATTTCCAAAGGAAATGCAAATTTACTTTCATCAGAGAACATAACTTTGGACCACTCAGCAGCAATCCAGTACTTTTTGTCTTTAGCCCAGGCGAGACGCTTCTGACGCTGTGTCTTGTTCAAGAGTGGCTTGACACAAGGAATGCGACAGCTGAAACCCATGTCTTGCATACGTCTGTGCGTGGTGGTTCTTGAAGCACTGACTCCAGCTGCAGTCCACTCTTTGTGAATCTCCCCCATATTTTTGAATGGGTTTTGTTTCACAATCCTCTCCAGGGTGCGGTTATCCCTATTGCTTGTACACTTTTTTCTACCACATCTTTTCCTTCCCTTCACCTCTCTATTAATGTGCTTGGACACAGAGCTCTGTGAACAGCCAGCCTCTTTAGCAATGACCTTTTGTGTCTTGCCCTCCTTGTGCAAGGTGTCAATGGTCGTCTTTTGGACAGCTGTCAAGTCAGCAGTCTTCCCCATGATTGTGTAGCCTGCAGAACTAGACTGAGAGGCCATTTAAAGGCCTTTGCAGGTGTTTTGAGTTAATTAGCTGATTAGAGTGTGGCACCAGGTGTCTTCAATATTGAACCTTGTCACAATATTCTAATTTTCTGAGATGCTGATTTTGGGGTTTTCATTAGTTGTCAGTTATAATCATCAAAATTAAAAGGAATGAACACTTGAAATATATCAGTCTGTGTGGAATGAATGTATACATTATACAAGTTTCACTTTCTGAATGGAATTACTGAAATAAATCAACTTTTTGATGATATTCTAATTATATGACCAGCACCTGTATATAAAAACCGGACATAAATGGATGTTACTTGGAGAAAAGAAAGCGAGGAGGTTGAACTACCTGGTGAGTTCAGAAAACATGTGTCTGTAACTTTATTCCAGCTATCATTGTACTTTACTGTGACCAAGTTAGCATAGCATAGCCCTGATCGATCCAAACTCCATTCAGAAAACAAACATTTTAGAAGTTGTTGTCCTGCTGTCTTGCTGGCAGACCTGACCAAGCACAAATTCATGTTTAACAAATCTGCATCATATTGTAGTTATTTCGGCATCAGTTTAATCAGTTTATTGCTATTTAATCACAGCAAAATGTTTACTTTGGGTTCATACAGTTGTAGTAATGGCGAGTTGTTTATTCACGTTATCGCATTAAAATCGCATTAAAATCGCCTTCTCGCGTTGTGTGTGAACGGTTGCAGCGAATGTACTCACGCGAGGAAAGCATCGCGAGGTTGGTCTGAATGCCGAATTAGACAATCCAACAAGCTCTGTGTTTGAAGTATACTGAGGCCTTAACTCTCCTTCTGGACAATCAGGTCTTCAGACACCAAAGAGTCAGATAAATAGAGAAACACTTATTTAAATAGTTACTTTAGCTCAGAATGAATCTGAAAAATGTAATGTTTTCAAAAAAAAAGCCGAATTTATTTATGATCATAGGAAAGTTTTGAATCTTTCCAAAAATAGCACATCTCAACTAACCCAGTTGTTTGTTTTGTTTTGACTGTTTGCAGCTTTACGTGGTCCTGCTCAGCAAGGTCCCGTTATTTATACATTGATGTAACTAGCTCTTTCATGGTTGCCATCTGTTAATGTTTTTACATTCAACTTGACACAGTGTGTGAGTGACTGACCTGTCAATCTAAAAAAGGTGACTGTTGTTTACACGTTTCCACTTTTCTAAAAGGTTAATTTGGGTTTTTTTTGTACCAGTGTCACCGTCACGTCATTCAGCATTTAATTTTCTGTCTTATATCCACCACAACATTAGAGAACTCAACATCCGTGTCAAAACCATTTTTCTATCTTCGATTGGATAAAATGGAATATTCAGGTTACATACGATGCATATTTGTCTGTGCAATAAACAATTAATGTAGAACCCCTTACAGGCTGGTGTGTAGTTACTGAGAAACAACAAGACTTTAAGGAGGGCAGCAGAATAACGGTTGAGTTTCCCATCAGAGATTTTGGCGCCATCTTTTGGACAGTCCTGGAGTAGCAGCCCTTTCCCCCCCACACAGGCGCACACAATTTGTCTATAAAAAGCATTTGCTGAAGGCCAGTCTGATGTTCAGCTCCTCAGTAAGCTGTCCTGAACGGACGACTGGAGCTCAGATACCGACAGAGCCTCAGTTTGAGTCCGACATCAGCACCATCTCATCCAACTCATCATCCAAGTCATCTTCGTCCTTCTCATTATCATCTTCTGCCTCATGTTTCTCCTCCTCTTCATGCTTTGTGTCCGAACCTTTGTTAGACACCTTTCGCAGTTTGATATTTGGAAGTTTCTTCAGGTCACCGGTCCACTCCCTGCCAAAACAAAGGATCAACAAATGTCATCAAGCGTTATCAGAGAGGATGTTAATGAATCCTCACGTGTCCCATGTGCAAATCATATCCTATAAATCCTAATATTATTTGAAATTATTCAAACAGTTAAGTACATCAGTATCTTTAGGCTTTAGCTCAGCTTAGTCGGTAAAGTGTAGGACTCTTCAACAAATGGATTCTGCAGCGAATGTTTCTCAGATCACGGCATGTGCTAGACTGGACAGATGGTTGCAATTCACAACCCTCACCACTACATGCCACTAAATCGTACACACTGAACCTTTAAATACATAGATTGTAAAAAAAAAAAAAAAAAATTATTCAAGCTCATATCCACTCACTTGAATGTTTTCAGGTGCTTTGCATTGATGATGTCTGGGATCTCTGAAGAGGACAAAACACAGGATCATGGAGTATTTTCCAAAACTGAATGTGTGCAGTTTCATACCATGTGTTGTGCATGCATTTATACTATGAGGGCTCACCAAATCCAGTGCCTTCATATTGCGCTCGCTCTCGCTCGATCGTCTGTTTGATGACAGCCTCTCTGGCACCATGGAGACGACCCTGCCGACCTTTGATGCCGTTCATCAGCTCAATCTGCTCCAGTTCAGAATCAAACCTTTTGAGGTACCTGCACATACACATCAAAAACAAACAGAAGATCACTCAACATCAGGTTTTCAACAGTAGGTTGTTTTAGATGCATTTCAGATGCAAAATGACGAGTGGCCAAGAACACATTTTTGACCTTTCAACGACGTCACAAGCATCTTTCCTGGTGTAAGCGGTCTTTTCTGGATCCAACTGTCCCTGAAACCACAACAGCTTCTCACCTGTGAGTCGAGAAACAAGCGAATGAAGGTAAGAGATGGTGTTTAATGGAGAGAGATTTCATCCTCACAGCCAGCAAGTACGTTTAACATGATAAACAAGCTTACCAATGCTGCTCAGACGTGTTGCTTTGTCAGTCTTCTGCCTGCAGCATCAGAGAAACCATTAAATTAAAGTAATCCGATCCTCCCACAGTGTATATAAGCAATGTTCGATTATATTTAAGTATGTTCATT